CATGTTTGTGCATGTGGTTTCTGGTCCATCAACTCGCCCTTGTGCTCATCTGTGGGAAGAGGAGTCAGAAGCACGTTAGGTGACGAAATGCTGACTGCCTGGATCCTTATCCATCCTCCCCGGCTCGTGAGTCACTCCTGCAGTGCGTTTCCTCGCCTCTCCCAGGGTCTGCTTGGCGGGTCCTGTGGGCAGGAGTTCCCCTCCAAAATGGGCGCAAGGCTGCTGTGGTCCGGCTGCTCTGCATCGCCTTGCTGGAGACTTCTCCATTGGCTCCATTTTCTTTCCAAATGCCTTGGCTTTCCTGAAACACAACAAACTGGAGATGAGCTGTGTTTGATCCCAAATCTGGAACACCCATCTTCTGACCTCCCCCATCCAGGCTGATTCCTCATGATGTGAAGTACCCACTTTTTCTCTCTAAAGGACATCTTTGCATTGAAAGGCAGGGACTAAGCAAGTGTTCAGAAAGCCAAAGGCGCCTGGTGGCAGAGAGCTGGCCCAGAAGGGCTGGCAGAAATGCAGAGTGCCATGCTGTCCCTTCTTCTTGTTGACTCCTGGAGCTGTGCTGTAAATTTGGAGTGCAGGCAAGCCCTTTGAGCACTTTCTGGGAAGAGGTTGGTGATGAGCAACATTATCTCCTGGGGACCGGCTCCCTCAGTGTTGCCCCATGTGGGACCTTGCATGCTGGAAATCTGAGCCGGGCATGTTGTGACACCTCATATAAAACTGTGGTCTGTGCTGTGTGGTATGCAAGAAGGGTGTGTAAGAATTTAACGGGGGCTGAGGAGTGGGGTGGGAAAGGGTTTTCCCTGCAGGTCTGAGAGGGTGGGTGTGAAGCCAGCAGCAGGATGGGGGGCAAGCACCCAGTCGCAAAGCATCGTGCAAGTTTGCACAAGGTGGTTCCCAGCACCTGGGCTCAGCTTCCAACCTTTTGCCCTGAGGAGGGAACCAAAGCGCAGAGGACCACGTCCTGCTTACTAGATGACATGAACAGAGGCTGTCATGTGTGACCCTAAAAACACTCTGTAACTGGCTTAATCAGCATCTGATGAATTCTTGCTTGTTGCACTCAGAAACGAGGGAGTTTCAGAGCATTTAAGCAATTGCTGTAGAGTTATCGTCCCTGATGCCCTTGGTTGTTGCTTTGTGGAGAGATGTCTTTTCCTTCTGCAAGCGGTCCGGCTGCTCTGGAGAAAGGGGTGGGCTCTGCAGAGCTGGAGCCCTTTGGCAGGAGGGGGAGGTAGGATGCTGTACTGCTACTTCTGGCTCTGCCACTTGCTGGGGTTTGCCCTTAAAGCTGAGGTTAGAAATGGGGAGCTAAGAGCCCTGCCAAAAAAAACAGCACTTGCCAGGCAGGTTGGAGCTGTCAGATGGGTCGGAGCCACCCATTCCCCATCACGTTCCCCATTGGTGCACCCTGCACATCACCCCTTCCTTGGGGACTGCCTCTTGGGCAAGACAACGGGAATTGGACAGCTCTCCATCCAGCCCCTCTTTGCCCTGACAAATCTCACGGGTCTGGCAAGCAGAGGTGGTCATGGGACCAGTTTGTTTTGTCCTCCTTCTCTGCCACAGTGGTGGTCAGGCAGCATGGTGGGCTTAGTGTTGTGCTGGTGAGGGGGGGGCAGCTGTGGCTGTGGGGATACCCCAGGGTGGGAGGTGTGCTCAGTGTGAGTGCTCAGCCAGGGGACACTTGAGCATCGTCTGCATTACACCCCTGTAGCAGGGAGGGCAGTTTGCATATGGATGTAAGCAGTGCAGTTTCTTTCTCTGGGGCATGCACGGGCATGATTTTACTGCACTAAATATAGCTTGAATTGGATTGCTTCAGGATGGTATAGTGAGAGAGAGGGGGGATGCTTAGGCTATTCTTTTGCCCTAAGAAAAAAGGCTTAAAAATCAATGCTCATTTGGTGGTTGCTTCTTTTTTCTTTTCATTGAACGCTGTTGTGATACAAAGATCCCTCGCTCCGGGGAGCAGCGATTCGCTGCCATGTCCAGCTCTCAGGGTTTTGTGAATGGAGTGGTTATGCCTGGAGTGGGCTGAACTAAAATCCGTGTGTTGCCTCTGCAGATGGGGATCTGCCTGTGTGGTGACTGATTTTTTTTTTTTAATTTTTTTTTTTTTAAATTATTCTAAATTTTTTTCCCACACTGTGGTTTTTAACCTCCCCCTACTCTGCGAACAGGGCTTACTGCTCCTTTGCTGCTTTCAGCCTCCCATGACAGCATCGCCCCTGTGTCCATGGGGACTCCCTGTTGAGTGGCAGCTGCCTTCAAGGCAAACATGGCTGGGAGTGAGCAGCTTCGACCCTTTGAGTATTATAAAGCTTTTTATTGAAGGAAAACATGAATGGTCGCGGGGTTTACTTTGATTCTTTGTGAAGTGCTTGAATTCACACCTCTAAAATCTCTGGCACTGCATAAGGTGTTTGTAGCGCCGAGGCTTCTTGCTGGAATTGAAAGTCACTGTATTGTTTGGTTTTCTTTTATTTTGATTTTTTTTTTCCTTCCCTTTTGTTTTAGGGTTTCTTGGATAACCAGGCAGGAAACCCCCAGATCATCATTTTGCGTCTCCTGCATTACATCATCCGCCTCATCTGGAGGATGCAGTGAGTGCTGGGCACATCCCGAGGCACCAGGACTTGTTTACTCTTTGGGAAAGCCCAGGCAGGATGGACAGATGGACGGACAAGCGGACACCTGGCTCCTACCCTCCTCTTCCCCAGGGACGTCCGGCAGGGGCTGTTGAATGAGGATGGACGTCCCATGCTGACCTGTTGGGACTCTCCGATGGAGGATTTTATCTGAGAGTGGTGTTTACTGCATTTCTCCCAACTCTTTTATTACTTTTTAGTATTTTAAATTTCTTTTTTCAGAAGAGTCTCAGAGAAAACATTCAATGGCAATGGAATTGGGGTTTTTTTGAGGTTTTTTTTTTCTTCTTTTTTTTCTTCTTTTTTTTAATTGTTTTTGGGAACCTGTCAGCTTGCCTGCGATAAACCTTGCAGCGGGGAAAAGAAAAACCTGAGCCAGCTGATGGGCAGAGCCACCTTCCTTTGCCTTGCAGACCTTAACGCAGAGACGCCCGGAGCCCTCGCCTCTCCCTTTGCCTCCTGGGCATCTGCCCCGGCGATGATGGAAGAAGGGCACAGGAATTTTAATCAGCACTTCTTTTACCTGTAAATACCTAATGCTACCCCAAATTCACCTTCATTTGCATCATGCAAATAGCGTATTTCC